GTCTAATCGAAAAAGGATACGCAGAGAAGGCTCCAGAAACCTCTAACGAAGGAAGGACATTCTACCTACCCCACTTCGCTGTTGTACACCCAGTCAAGAAGAAGCTAAGAATAGTGTTCGACGCAGCTGCCAAGTACGAAGGAAAGAGCCTCAACGACGCCTTGCTCTCGGGCCCAGACTTGCTACAATCACTATTCGGAGTACTGCTGCGTTTCAGAGAGGGACCAGTAGCCGTCATGGCAGATATACAAGACATGTTTCTCCGAGTAAAAGTCAGAGAAGACGACCGAGACAGTCTCAGGTTCCTGTGGCGCGGAAACCGAAGAACCGGCAAGCCTGAAGAGTATAGAATGTCTTCAATCATCTTCGGAGCAGCGTTATCACCTGCAACAGCAATATACGTAATGAACAAGAACGCAGAGGAATTTAAGAACACTCATCCTGAAGCAGTGAAAGCAATTAAGAGAAATCACTACATGGACGACTATCTGCAGAGCTTCGCATCTACAACCGAAGCAGAGAAGATATCCAAAGAAGTGAAAGACATTCACGCAAGAGCAAATTTTCATCTGAAGGGATGGGCCAGCAACAACTCGGGGGTAATATCAGAGGTAGAAGACACAAACAAAGAAAACTCCTTACAACTGACCAAGGAAGAGAAGACTCTGGGACTAAGATGGCTGGTAAAAGAAGATGCATTAGCCTTCAACGTCGGGCTACGCAACACGCCGGAAGACCTGCAAGACGGCAGAAGGACTCCAACAAAAAGAGAAGTCACAAGCGCAGTAATGTCCACCTTCGATCCAATGGGTTTTGCTACACCAGTTCTAATACAAGGAAAGAAACTAATCCAAGACATCTGGCGAAAGAAAATAGACTGGGATGAACCAATCAACGAACATCAAAAAGAAGCCTGGATGAAATACCTGGAAGAAGTTTCAACATTAACAAGGCTGAAGATCCCGAGATGCGTCTCACTCAAAGGCAGAAAAGGACAGCTACACACGTTCTCCGACGCGAGTGAAGAAGCCTATGCAGCAGTAGTCTACTGGAGAATAGTAGAGCCCGGAGGAAAGGTCCATGTCTCCATGATCGCCGGCAAAGCAAGGGTAACGCCGACGAAACCTGTGTCAATTCCGAGGCTAGAGCTACAAGCGGCCTTACTCGGAAGCAGACTAGCCGCCACAATCGAAGAGGAATCAGAGCTCGACATATCGAAGAAGGTTTACTGGACCGACTCCAGCACAGTACTGCAGTGGATAAAGTCAGAACCAAGGAAGTTCAAAACTTTTGTGGCCAACCGACTCGCCGAGATCGAAGAAAGGTCCAAGCCAGAAGACTGGAGATGGGTGCCAACCAAGGAGAATCCAGCGGACGACGCCACGAGGGGAACCCCAATCGAATTCGACCACAACGCCAGATGGTTCAAAGGCCCGTCATTTCTCCGTCAACCAGAAGAAGAATGGCCATTCCACGACTTCAAGCCAGAAATTGTTATGCCAGAAGAAAAAAGCAAGCAAAAGGTGTTGGCAACAATGGCAGCAGAAGACACTCTACTAAACCTAGAAAGGTTCTCGAGCTGGGAGCGACTGCTGCGCACTACAGCCAGAGTGATCGCCTTTACACACCTACTAAAGAAGAGCCGTAAAGCGACCACCACCGCCGCGCGCCAGAAGGATGAATCCTGGAAACCACAAAAAAATCCAGAAGAAAGAAACACAAACCTCAATCCCGTCGACCAGCAGAAGTGAAAATAAGCGCCTATACTCACCCATAGAAGCAGAATACCTAAAAAAGGCCGAAGAGATATTAATAAAAATAAGCCAGAGCGATAGTTTTGCATCAGACATAAGAAAACTGAAGTCAGAAAAGCCATTAGAAAATTCGAGTCGACTCAAGAAAACCGACGTTTACATTGGAGACGACGGAATAATTAAATTAAGGAGCAGAACAATGAAATTCCACGATCAAAACGGAAGAATAATGAACCCTATCATTTTAGACGGAAAACAAAAGATAACTCGTCTAATAATACAACACTATCACAGGAAATTCCTTCACGGAAACACCGCTACAGTAATGAACGAAATTCGTCAAAGATTCTGGATCTTGGGTTTAAGAGCAACTCTAAAAGCGGTCGCACACAGCTGTCAATGGTGCAAGACAAAGAAGAGTTCACCAGAGATACCACCAACAGGAGATCTGCCGAGTGAAAGATTGCAGCATCATCAATTTCCGTTCTCCTGCACAGCCGTAGACTACTTCGGGCCGATGCAAGTCACCATCGGAAGAAGGAACGAGAAGCGCTGGGGAGCTTTATTTACCTGTCTCACAACTAGAGCAGTACATTTAGAGCTGGTACCTTCTCTCAGCACCAGCTCAATGATCATGGCACTCCGACGAATGGCAGCCAGAAGAGGAACTCCGAAAACAATATATAGCGTCAACGGAACTAATTTCGTCGGAGCGAAAAGGGAATTAGAAGAGGCCGCACAGGAAAAGGGCATCCAGTGGAAGTTCATCCCCCCGGGAGCTCCAAACATGGGAGGCGCCTGGGAGAGGCTCGTACGAACAGTCAAAACGGCGCTAGCAGTAGTCCTCAACGAGAAGAGCCCGCCCGAGGAAGTACTCCATACGCTAATGACCGAAGTTGAACACATCGTCAACTCGAGACCTCTCACCCCGATCAGCATGGACCCAGGAGACGAGGAGAGCCTAACACCGAACCACTTTCTGCTGGGAAGATCATGCGGAGCTATGGCGCCGGGAGAGTTCAGCGACACGGAGCTCATCGGAAAGGCAAGCTGGAGAACCACCCAGAGACTCGCAGACCACTTCTGGAAAAGGTGGATTAAAGAATACTTACCTCTCCTGATGCCAAGGAAACTCGAAGGGAAAGAAACCAGAGACCCAAGGGAAGGAGACATCGTGCTAATAGTGGACGCCACATTACCGCGAAACTCATGGCCTCGCGGTGAAATCGTCAAAACCTATCCCGGACCAGACGGAAGAACCAGGGTGCTGGACGTGCGGACATCAGGTGGAATACTTCGCCGTCCAACTCGACGTGTCATTGTGCTGGTGCCAGCAGAGTCGTCGCCTCCAGAGGATGCAGTGCTACGCACCGTGGGGGAGAATGTTAGCGACGACAAAATGAATTCGAACATTTAATCTTAATTATTTCTTATCAGTGATTTAAAACTAAGTGATAGTATTTAATCTTAATTGTTTCCTATGCGTAAAATAAAGCTAAGTGTAAAGACTGATTAGTGCTGAAAACAGGAAAGTAAGTTAAACACTTCTATTCTTATCTTAAAGTAACTTGTATGAATCTATTTAATATTATTTAGGTCTGATTAGAACATTAGACGCAAGTATAAGCTTATTTCTAGTAAGATTTCTTTTATCATAACTTTAAGAGCTATTAACATATAGGTGATTAATGTAATTCTTTTTACTTTAAAGTAATTCAAAAGAAACATTAATATGTCAATTAGTCACTATATAATGTCATTTCATTATGAGAAAGATTTAAATTTTATGTAAAAATATTGTATAGATTCTTAAGCATTAATCCTGAAAAAAGTGTTGTACATTCCTACCTCTTGGCGGCGCTACTTGTATGTTCGGCAAAAAATACTATCCTACTCCGGAGCTAAACCGTGAAGCGACCGCGAAGCTATTTTTATTTTTTATAAGTGTAAAATAAAGGTTTATTGAATAATTTAGGTTTAGAATAATAGAAATAAGTTGTATCTATCGCTAGGAATAAATATAAATATTGTAAGATATGTTTTACCACGTTTATTAGGGAAATTGTAAATCTCTCTTAGAAAGGGTTATTCTGTGCTCTGATTGGTCAATAGATTCACTAATGCCGTGTGCGATTTTTTCTTAATTACGATTGGTTACAGCCGCTTATAAAAAAGGGGCGTTTTTCGTGGTAAAACATTCCAAATCCGGCAATGTAATAATAAGGAATCAAGAAATAAAATAAGAAGAAACTCTCAAGAAGTGTTATTTATTGCTCATCTAACTTCTACTGTATGCTCTCCAGTTAACATCCCGCCAGCAAACCCGCTCTATTTTATCGACGCTCCCTTATACGAGCAATTACAATATGTGTATATAATATGTTTTACTTTATTTATTTTTTTATTATATTTTAGCAATTTATATAATTTCATGTATTAGTTATTTTATTGCATGTATCGTCTATAAATCGCATGTATTGATATTATATTTTGTATATTTATATTGCACCACCTACCTAGTTTTCATTGTTCTAATCCTTTACACCTTTGGTTGCCTGGAAGAGATCGCTATGTAGCGATAAGGCCGCCAAATTACTTACATAATATAATCTGCTTTTGTTTTGTTATCTGTATATTTGTTTGTGGTGTACAATAAAAGTATATTCATTCATTCATTTTTATGTAAGAGAGGGAGAGCCGTGGTAGCTCAGGGGCTAAGCGCCTGCTGTAAATTTCACAGTACGCGAACAGCTCGGGTTCGATTCCCGACGGCACCGATGAAAATGTTAATCGCAATTTTAAATGCTGATTCACTACGTGCTCGGTGGTTAAGGAAAACATCGTAAGGAAACCGGTATGTCTGAAAAAAAAATATTTGAAGACGCAATGCCAACACACAATGGGGCAGCACGGTGGACATTTTTTGCCCTAAAACCCATTTAGAAATGAGAAGAGGAGTCTTGTGTTTTCTTAAGAGAGGACAAACGAATATGCGGCTTATCTGATGGTAAATGACATCGACCGCCCTTGAGTAACTGCAACACCAGGGAAATTTCAGATACGTTGCCGACCTTTTAAAAAAGAGTAGGCTCTTTTCTTGAAGGGTCCTAAGTTGTAACTGTCTGGAAATAACGGTGGTAGTCGATTAAATTATTAATAATTAAAGTCTTTCTTATTTCAGGCTCATCCTGTGTACATAATGGATTCAGAGGAGTTTGCACGGTCATGACGAAATGTCAGTCAGCAATGAATAACATCAGGAACGGGAGGCAGCCATTGGTGAGCCTTTATCATTATTTCTTTTTGCATTTTTTTAATAGAATGATAGTGACAAGCGACCACATATTCCACTTGATGGTGTGTGGATGCTGAGGTCCATAGACATCTACGTCTCACCTCAATTAAGAATCAAAATGCAGATACGTTGTCACCCCTGAGGACTAAGAACTCTTTTCCAGTAAAAAGGATCTCCGGTTCTCTACATTCACCATACGAAACACAGCAGCATTAAGCTACTATTTCACGCTGGTCCTACCCCAGTCGAGCCGATTCATTCGTGCTCCAACCATAATATACTCGTATAACTATAACAAAACTCTTTTTTTAATCCCATTTTATACTTAGTGTTTCTACCCGATAGTTATATTTTTGTACGTGCCTCGTTAACGTGGTGATCGTAAGCGTAAGCAACTTTACACTCACCATACGAAACACAGCAGCATTAAGCTACTATTTCACGCTGGTCCTATCCCAGTCGAGCCGATTCATTCGTGCTCCAACCATAATATACTCGTATAACTATAACAAAACTCTTTTTTTAATCCCATTTTATACTTAGTGTTTCTACCCGATAGTTATATTTTTGTACGTGCCTCGTTAACGTGGTGATCGTAAGCGTAAGCAACTTTACACTCACCATACGAAACACAGCAGCATTAAGCTACTATTTCACGCTGGTCCTATCCCAGTCGAGCCGATTCATTCGTGCTCCAACCATAATATACTCGTATAACTATAACAAAACTCTTTTTTTAATCCCATTTTATACTTAGTGTTTCTACCCGATAGTTATATTTTTGTACGTGCCTCGTTAACGTGGTGATCGTAAGCGTAAGCAACTTTACACTCACCATACGAAACACAGCAGCATTAAGCTACTATTTCACGCTGGTCCTACCCCAGTCGAGCCGATTCATTCGTACTCCAACCATAATATACTCGTATAACTACTCTAACAAAACTCTTTTTTTAATCCCATTTTATACTTAGTGTTTCTACCCGATACGTTATATTTTTGTACGTGCCTCGTTAACGTGGTGATTGTAAGCGTAAACAACTTCTGATCATATTATGGTCCCGGGTTAGAATACCTGATTGAAACAAAATCGTTTATTGGTTTTTTTCTATTCCATCTTAGTAGTCAGGGGTGACAACATATTTGCATTATAACTCTTTCACAGTCTCGTGTACTATATATAGGTCAATGCTAATGTTTTAATCATAGAATACTATATTACACAATAGAATGGCTGTCAACCTTATTTTGTACGAGATTCGGCGTCGCTGGGAGCGTACATATTTTCATTTATTTATAAGTACATATAAAACACATGCATACACAAACGCAAAAAATACGCTTGCTGACACACACACGCACATACACACACCCACACATACACAAACACACACGCACACTTGAACCCTAACACACTCAACACACAGTTAGTACGTAAATTAAGTAGTATATTATTTTTATACCTTTTGAAACATTCTTCTTATTTTGAACCTTTATTGTTAATTTATTAGGTCATAAAATTGGGAGAGGGCGCTGATTACTGAGATACTGGTATAATTCCTAGTTCAGCAATCAGAGACTTCATATATTCACTGTATAATTATCAATAAAGCTTAGTATATTAGTATGTACATACAAGCAATTACGTCGTATTATCAGTTAATCACTACTTCAAACCCAATTCGCTGTGTTGACAGACGGATTTTAATACATATTTATTTGTAAATAGCGTGCAATTTGGCATTTTCTAAATAATTTGCAAGCGAAATTTGGAAACGATTGTAACGTCAAAACACATCTCATGTTTATATTAATACTTGTGAATTGACATGTTAGTTGCATTTTAGTGGCTATACGTGCTCCGCCCACTCCCCCCGTTCTATTATGTACTCGTATGTATTATAGTATTCGATAGTCTTAACATTGTGTCCGAAAATCGGACAGTGAAAGTGTTAATGCGATTTTGTGTAGTGAATGTCAGCACATGTGAATTATTAGTGGAAACGATGAAACAACTTCTTGATGATGTGAATCTCAAGATTAGCCTTGAGATACTATCGTCAACGACTGTATGCATGCTCAAGCTGTCGTCTAAATCTCCCTGAAGCTAAGCTAACCAATCGACAGTAGCCTAATGGCAGGGCGCGGATCGCGAACTCAAAAGATCGTGGGTTCGAATCCGCCATTTGATTACTGTCGTGAACCACTCCTAACACAAGCGTTTCAAGCTTACCAGGAGTGGTTAAAAAGGAATATTAGTAATGTTAATTAATAAGATTACTAATATTTAAAAAAAAACTTCACACTATGACTCATGAAGTAATTTCTTAATATACTGGAAATTACTAAAATAACTGTGTACGCGAGCAAACAGGCGTCGATCCCCGGCTGCACTAATGAAATTGTTAATTGCAATTTTAAGTGCTTATTTACCACGTGCTTGGCGCTGGAGCAAATCATCGAAAGAGGAAACCTGCAAAATATTCCCTTGTCCTGAAACCTTCCCAGAAACGAGAGGAGACCTGTGCCCAGCTGTGGGACGTATATCTAGACTGTAATTTTACTTTACATTACTTAAAGCAAAAGTACAACAGTACGAGTCTATTACCAAAGAAAACTACAACGCTCTTCAGGGCTTACCGCCTTCATTATTTTTAATCAGTATTTCTTTATCTTCAGCTATGCTCAATCCGAGGGAGGGACCGCATAGTCTGCTGCGTGAACTCCTGGTACCAACCACGACCCACAAGCCACGTCCCGAGACCCGCAGTCACTGTACCAGCAACGCCTACAACTGTACCTAGGACCCCGGTCAACTATTACCAAAGACCCACCACAACTACACCTAGGTAAAAGTAAAATAAGAACGTTCATACTTATTTTTTTTTATATAGTAGGGTGACAAATGAGCACAAAGTTTATTTGATTGTAAGTGGGTGATGTGGTCCATAGACATCTACATTTATCCTCGGTTAAGAATCAAAACGCAATGCGTTGTTACGTGAGGACTAAGATGTAATGCCTCGTTTCCAGTAAAAAGGGTCTCCGGTTCTCTACACTCACCATACGAAAGCACATTCCACAGCATTTACTAACCGAACCATTCGTGCTACAATTTCAGCGTGGCTCTAGCACGTAAAAAAATAAATATTATATTAATATAATTAAATATTAAAAAATAAATAAAATTAGAATAAAATAAATTAGAAATTAGAGTAATAAATAAAACTCGACTGCGTTATATAGTGTATTTATTGAAATATAAACATTCTCCGCTCTTTTGTGTATTTTCAGATGCAATATATAAATATTGTATAGCCTATGTCTAACCTAAGCCTAACTTAGAAATGAGGATATGTGCACTAGCCTAGATAAATAAGGTGAAGTGGCAATAGGCCGGCTATATAGCTCGAAGAACCGACAATCGATTGGGAGGAAAAGTTCTCGAGTGGCAGCCTGGTGATGATAGACGAAGTGTAGAGCCAACCCCCACTAAATGGAGTGACGAGTTGGTAAAAGATGCAGGAAGTCGATGGATGCAGGTGGCTCAAGAACGTGCTTCATGGCATTACCTGGAGGCCTATATTCAGTAGTTGACTTGTGAAGGGTTGTTAATGATGATGTTAAAGTATAGCATATTAATACGTGATAGAGCCACGCTGTGGCTATATTATGGTTGTAGCACGAATGGGTCGGCTCGACCGGGGAAGGACCACGTTCTCACAGAATACCAGCGTAAAATAACAGGTTAATGCTGTTGTGTTTCGTATGGTGAGTGTAGACGTCCGTAGACCCTTTTTTACTGGAAACGAGGCATTGCATCTTAGTCCTCAGGAATGACAACGCATCTGCGTTTTGATTCTTAATCGAAGATAAGTGTACCATTAGATGGACCATGTTCTCGTTTGTCACTCTTGTTTTATATAAAAAAGTGACATCTTTATATACGAATACATAACTCTTCTACACGTCTGCTTGTCACTGTACCCTTTCTGAACGTCAAGACTGATTTTGATAAAATTATCAAAACTATATATATAACACTATCTATATATAGCCCCGAAATGAGGATATCCGCAGTAAAACCAGAGTGACCGACATAGCCTAACGGATTAGTAAGCTGAAGTGGCAATGGGCCGGCCATATAGCTCGAAGAACCGATAACCGATGGGGAAGAAAGGTTCTCGAGTGGCAGCCTCGTACCGGTAGGCGTAGTGTAGGGCGACCCCCCACTAGATGGAGTGACGACCTGGTAAGATATGCAGGAAGTCGATGGATGCAGGTGGCTCAGGACCGTGCTTTGTGGCATTACTTGGGGGAGGCCTATGTTCAGCAGTGGACTTGTGAAGGGCTGTAATGATGATGATGATGATATATAGCCCCCAAAATATGTATATAATTTTTTTTGGGTGGGTCTCTGGATGGTTTAGATTCACAATTGTATCTGGTAACTGACGAAATTGTCGAGATCCAGAAATCACCAACACCATCACAACATTCTATATTGAATAAGAATATTCTATATTCTACTCTGTTTTATTCTATTTTTCCTTTTAACATTCCATCAGCTACCTTTGTTATTTTTCTAGACCTAAGAATCCTCAAAATGGCTGCGGGCCTATTTCACCACAATTGACTGCACCCAAAACTGGCCGCAAAGCATGGGACAGTAAGTATTATAACTTAAATTAAAAAAGTTAAAAAATCTGATGATCTTCAAACGGCTAAAAAGATTTTCTTGAATCATAACTAAGAACACTCTCGATCACCTTTCAAACAAAAAGAACTAAATCGAAATCGGTTCATCCGTTTGTAAGCTACGATGCCATAGACAGACACACATACACACAAATACACACGGTTAAAATATAACCCCTCTTTTTCGTCGGGGGTTAAGGGGAAATATAATCTCAAATGGCTTGGCAAGATCCTTCGTTATGCTGAAAATATTGCAGCATTAATTTTGAAATAAATATATGGTAAAGTTGAGGATTAATGTTAAGGATTATGTTAGACGAAAACGCGATTTCGTAAAATTTTCTCGATAGAAAAAAATCCAAAGTTACCTCCAAAATAAACAATAAACCGCTGTTATTCATAAAATACTTTAAATAAGATCATGAAACTTTGAATACTAACTGAACTAACTATAAAGCAGTGCTTATGTTATTTACTTTTTTTTTAAATACCATTATTTTCACTGTAAAAAAAAATTACCGAAACTATCGGCCTCTTGAAGCGTGATTCCTGCCGCACGGTCACTTCGCTTCGGCCTTTGAACGGGGAGGTTGTGTTGCTTACGATCAGAATATACATTACGCAACAGGACGAAGTAAAATTAAAATGGGAAATAACCGTAATAAAAATAAGAAGCGACTGGCTTGGCGTTAAGACACAGGCATAAATATAATAAACCTAATGAAATAAGTGTCTAACGACCTTTCTACTTACAGTATTAGTGATTACAAACATGTCGGTATACGACGCGCGGGCAAGTGGGGACGAAATTAGAATTTGAGCTGACTTACTCTATCCCCTTAAAAATGGGAATTATTGTAAAAAAATATGATTATCTATACAACTAAATAAAATTAAAGTGTCTGTTTGTAATGTGAAAATAACAGCTTTTTACTTTTTTTATTAGTCTAATCCAGCACTTAGCTACAATCCCACCTGATGGTAAGTGTTGATGCAGCCTAAGATAGTTAAGCGCACTGTCTTAACAAAAACCTATTCACTCTTGCCTTGATAACACTCACATTGTAATCGGATGACAAGACAGATGCTGGCAACTTATACCACTCCTTCGCACGCATGATGAACGACGTAGTAAGCCATTTGGTTCGAATGCGTGGTAAGTCAACAACGAAAGGGTGGAGACTGGCCGAACATCTGGCTGCCCGATGGTGGAAGGGAGAGGGAGGAATTAAATTATGCAATTCCTGCGCACACTCTCCGAAAAGCATCTTGTAGAAAACCGAAATGCTAGCTACTTCGCGCCTGTGTTCGTGGCACGTAAGACTGGTTTTAACTAAATTCGGGTCACCAATGAGCCTCTTAGCACGCCTTTCCACTGAGTCCAAAGCTGCTAGGTGTCATTTTGGAGTACCAGCCCATATATTTTATTTATTTATTTGATAATAATTTTACAATATTTAGATTGGTATTTTACAGTATAAACATAAGCTATACAGCTTTACCGTATACCGATGCCATCAACATACATAGCATGATAATTATTATGCCTAATAATTATGTCATACATCTTATTGTTGTGATGCACGCATTGAACAGCGCTCCCCGTTACAGTCAATAAACCGGTTTGCTCTCGGTGTCGTTATTTGCCTACCAGGCTTGACGCGTCGAGTTCGCATGTACAGGCTGTTCTAAATAATTTAATACTAATTAATGATATTAAAGATAAATTTATTTTATATTCTTAATTATTATTGTAAATGTAACCTTAGTTTTTAGAGTATTAATGTGTAGCTTATAATATATTATTTTTATTTTACAATACTTATTATAAGTTACTTAAGAATATACTTTCTTTAATATATTTTTGATGTTGCGATGATTAATTTGTTCTTTTAGTTGTGATGGAGGTTTTTATATCGGGAATCATGTATTCTAATGTTCGTTTTCCATATAGATTTATGTATTTTGGTAATGCTAAGGTAGGTTTCTTTGACTGTCGTGTGTTAAAATTATATTGTATTGGAATTTGTATATTTTTATTAAAGTAATTTTCAATAAGTAATATATACTTTACTTTATTATGTACAGGTAATATTTTACAGAATTCAAATATATTATGTTGTTGGTATATGGCAGCAACACTTCATGCACGACCGGACCTCGTATTTGAAGTAAGCAGCTGTCCCGGCGTGAAGTATCGCCACACTTTCGCAAATACTCGTAGCTTCCTTGCAGCTGCTTGGGCCTTGGGCTCAATGAACAGCACGAAGTTCAGATTTGAGAATATCTCAACCCCCATCAAGTGAAGGCGATCGGTGTATTCCAGTGATACATTTCGGAAAGAAGGAGCCATTAATTACTTAAAGCATATGAAAGTATATACGATACTTATAACAAAACAAAAAACTATTTTTAAAGTTTTTATTAGTCGATCTATCTGTTTAGTTAATTTGGCTAAAGTAGTTCCGGCTAATCTCCGAAACGGCAGGACCGATTTTGACGGGAATTTCACTAGCACATGGCTGATGTTATAAGGAGTAATTTAGGCTACTTTCATTTTAGAAAAAACAATTAGATTTCCACGCGAATAAACTCAAACCCATTAAATCCAATCGTAATAAATTTTAGATCGCAGGGAACAGCTCATCTTAGAATATAGCTGTGAGTTTTATTAGAATGTTATAAAGTTATATTATAACTATCTGAACACGGTAGACGTTGCTCCGCCAGTTAATATAAAGTCGGGGAAAAGGTTTCTTCGTATTTTATATACAAATACAAGACATTTCTTTTTCAAAGTTTAATTACATTTAATTATAACATATATGTGCCATTTTGTGCGAAAACTAATTGCCATCTTGTAGGGAGTAACAATCCTGTTGCTGTCTAAATCTTGAGATTTTTGATCAATGCGACAAGTAGTTTTGACAGTGTTCTCTTGATGTTAACCTAGCACTACCCAAAGAATTGAGGGTGCAAGGTCAGTACTATATTGTGGATGCATGAACACATTAACACTTCCTAACCAAGCTCTCTCAATTTTTGCTGAGAGTTCAAAGATGTGTGTCTGGCGTTACCATGATGAAAGACCACTCCTTTTCTTTTGATCAATTCCGGCCGTTTTTTCAGTAGTTTGCAGTATATTTGCAATATGTCGATCTTGCTCCATTTTTTCAAAAATAGCATCGACTGTCGTACGTGGGTGACCAGAGCGAGCTGAATTTTCGACATCAAAATTCCCGGACTGATAGAAGAAACTTTTCTCCGACCTATTATAACTCGTATCATATGTTGCGTTCAACGACGCTGTTTATTTTACGGAAAAAAAGTAAATAAAATCAAAAATTTTAAAGTTTGTTTGTTTCTAAATTGTTTTAATTTTCAATTTTTTTTAGTATTCAAATATATATATATATATATATATATATATATATATATATATATATGCTATGGTATGGTACTCGCCCGAGTGACGTAATCACTGTAATGATCACCGTCCGCCCTAGCTACCTACACAACATTCCAATAAAAACACAATAGGTGCACACAACCTGTGATGTAACTTTTCCTTCATACTTTCATCCTGGCTTAGGAGCTTAGGACAGGCAAAAATTCCTACCCTTTGTGTTTTTTTTTTTTTGAAAAATTTAGACATTACTAAAAAAAATTATTTTTCATTGAATTTACGTTCTATAAGTAAAACCAAACCACTGGTTTCAAGGATAACGGTGTTTACACTAACAGCCTGTATATTCAGGTAAGCGTTTAAAAGGGCCTGTCACAAATATTCTAATATTTTTTCTGAAAATATGTAATTTTTTTTGTTCAAAAAAAACTTTTACACGATTTTGGATCATATTATACCTAGTAATTAGGCATTTAACAATGCCGCGAGCTAATCTATTGAATAAAGTTAAATATGTCACAGTGCACTTGATTTTTGATTAATTGGGAGGTGTCCATTTGTTACGTCAGGTGTTAGGAGGTCAAGCTGAATCATGCAACTTTTTTCTACATAAAACAGTGTGAAATTTCGAAAAATCGGGTTAGGTAAAATATGAGTAAATCCTACACAATAATATTTATTGCGATTAAACGCAATCAATCAAAGATTAACGTATTTACACTAAAAATACGCTTTTTGAATAATCTCACGTGAGATTTGGGTAGGGTAGTGAAGGGGTCTTTCTTTTCTTTTCTTTTTTAAAGAACGTTACCCGCACACTAGGATTTCCTCCTGTATCGTGGAGGCAGTTTACAAACATAAATTGCACAATAACAAAAGTCCAGAGCCGGAACAATTATTTGTAGGCCATACAAATACTTGTTCCGTGCGGGATTCCAACCCGCGGCCCCCACCGCAGCAACTCTATTGTTAAGTCAATATGCCACGGTCGCATCATATCTCACGAAATCTCACCAGGGGGAGGAGGAGGGTAGAAAAGTTATCAAAATCACACATCAAATCATGAAATTAACGGACGTCGACGAAATATTGCTATGCCGAAAGTCACTAGATACATACGACTTTGAATGCGGAACTGTAAGTCTGAAAGTCAGGCATTATTTCTTTCAGAATGCATTGAATATCAAGAAAAACTGATATATCCTTGCGTCAGGGGTGCCGCGTTCACTGATGGCATGGTTCGTGCGCGCCGGTGCTACCACAGCATGGATGAGCTGATCGTTGGTGGACTTAGTGCCGCCAGAAGAGAATTTCCGCACATGGTAAGTGTATATATATATATTATACTTACTTATACGTATATGTTATACTGGTTGACCTTTTTTAGCGTCTGGAAAAAAATAGGGTGTAACATATGAACGGAGTAGTAGCTTATGGCATTTTTATTTTTTGTAAAATATCAGTGCTGTAGGCTTTTACTCCGTTTACATGTTGCACTCTATTTTTCCAGACGGTAGAAAAGGTCAACCAGCGTAAGGTATTGTTACGATCTTAGGGTTCGTGACAATAAAAACTACCGATTGAAAAACCAAAATTAACACTTTAATTACCGAACACCAATTAAAACTTAAAACACACTAACAATTAATCACACTGATTCACTTTATTTCGCTCCGAAGCTTCGCTTGTATCGCCAAATTCAATACTGCCCCAGTGGCGGGCTTCAACGACTTTATATAAGCTTTTTACACCGATACATCCAGAATATTCCAGCAAATAGCAGCCCCCGATCGACCAGGTGCAGAAAGTTCGAGTGTGGAGCTTTCCAGAAAGCTTAGTCCTTCTATTCGATACTAGATGGCGCTGTTGGTTGAAAGTTCAGTCACGGTATTTTCTAGAAAGTTCTCCTCGCTCTGTGCCCCGACACTAGATGGCACTAGTGCCAGGTACCAGACATCAACTTAGGCGCGCAATAGTATGTAGGGTAGGTGGTATTTATTTAGCATAACCGTTACAGCCTATTGAAGTCCACTGCTAAACATAGGCCTCCCCTATATATTGCCTCATCAGGACAATATATTGGTATTTGCTATAGTTGCCACGCTTGACTAGCGGGTTGGCAACTGTAGTTTTTTATTTTTAGTCATTTTTAGGTTAACCGCTGTTTCATAAAACACAGTTTAAAACAATGGAAGATATCGGCAGACTTGGAGAATATGACGTGTCTAATAGAAATTGAACTTCATATTCCGAAAGATTAGATATGTACTCTTTGATTGAAGTTAATAAGTGTAGAGAACCAGAGACCCTTTTTACTGGAAACGAGGCATTCCATCTAAGTTCTCTGGTCACAACGCATCTGCATTTTGATTCTTATTCGTGGATAAACGTAGATATCTATGGGCCACAACGTTCTCATATGTCACCCTTATTCTATAAAAAAAGTCATTAATATATATATATATATATATATATATATATATATATATATATATATATATATTCATTATTAAAAGCAAGAGTCCAAAGAGGAGGTTTTCGTTCACAGGTTTTACTTGGCTTAGGTTCAAATCCTCAAACAGCGTCCTGGGCCTGCGGAGGAACCCTGATCAGCGAACGCTTCATCTTGACCGCTGCTCACTGCACAATGGCCAATCGCGCGTAAGTGACCATGTGATGGTACTTAAAAAAATAATACTGCATGTCGTCCCTTTGGTGTTAACATGTAAGGAGTAACTATGAGAAGGGCCTGAAATTGCCTCATATAGATGGTAATACAACCAGAGAAGATGAGCAACATTAAATGAAACTATGTTTACGGATTTTATCGCGTTTAATTTCAACTTTTTAATTGTATTGTATTTTATAATATGTATTTGACGTACTGATGTCAGAGTTAGTATCCTTTAGTTTTTGAATACTAATTTTTGATCTGATCTACGCAGAACGAGCTTACTGCATCTTGAGTTCTTGAAGTTGTATGCTTGGGTTTGGATTTAATTTTATTAATTATGGGATCCAATATGAATTTAAATTGCTCAGATTCCTATAATTATTTTAAAGGTAAAATAGAAGGTAAGGTGGTTAGATCATTGATGTCCAAAACAAAGAGCAATAACAAATATATATGGAAAAATACATAGATTTAAAATAAATGTGTACATTTTTTCTCCTGAATCTCCTTTTTTGGGAAAAATTCTATATTTGTAAAAAGAAAAAGGTGGCAACCCTAGCTATGGCGGGGACGATCTTGAACATGTACAGTTTCAGATAAAATCCGTGAAAATAGTTTCATTTAATGTGTAGTATTCGCATAAATATGAGAAATCATTACAAGAAAAGCAACCTCAAAGATTTGAAACAACTGCTGGCAAGTTCAGAGATCACACCAATTCCTTCGTAGACACTACGCAAACACAAAAAAACTGTCCATAAATTCATCAGCCATAGAGAAGCTATACAGCTCTCTCTGACACAATTATGGATATCAAACTAGTATACCTTGTGGATCCTGACACAAGCACTAGTATCCTTATAAAAGGACCTTAATGCTTATATCTGCCAATGCTCCACAGTGTCCACCCAAACGTGTGTTTGATATAAAATAAACCGGTCCAATATGACATAAGCCTTTTCAAAGTTCATAGATGCAAAGAAAACCTTTTATTTTACGTGGTACAGCCACGCTGCAGCTATATTATAGTTGTAGCACGAATGGGTCGGCTCGACCGGGGCAGGACCACGCTCTTACAGAATACCAACGTAAAATAGCAGCCCCATGCTGCTATGTTTCGTATGGTGAGTGTAGAGATCCGGATACCCTTTTTACTGGAAACGAGGCATTTCATCTTAGTCCTCACTCGTGACAACGCATTTGCAATTTAATTCATAATCGAAGATAAATGTAGATGTCTATGGATCACAGCATCCACTTACCATCAAGTGAAGTGTGTGCTCGACACCCTATTCTATTAAAAAAATAATTTTAGTAAAAAAACATCTTTGTGATCATGCCAAAGTCTAGATTCTTACACCCCCATTCCCTTTCTAAATCCAGGCTTACCAACTCTTTCAATCGAAACTTTAGGATACAGTTTTTCCACATTGCTAAGAAGGAAATTTCAGAGTAGTTTTTATAGTCTCACTGCTACTTACTCACCCCTTTCCCTAATACAATATCACTTTGAACCCGTCTCCCGGTATCACGGTACTCGCTTTAAAATTCTCAATTTAAATTAAAGAAAGTGTAAAATAAACATAAGTGTATTATGTATAGAGGTATTTTTCATTCCAGTTACGTGAGCTTCGCTCTACTTGGAGTCTTAAACAGATCTGAAAGGATCAACACCTCCAACCTCTACAGGATCAAGAGGATAATCAAGCATCCCAGATACAACTCCCCATCCAAGTACAACGATATAGCCTTGCTTGAAACCGAAAGGGAGTAAGTCACTTAAGATTGGTATCTGTATAATAACCGGCCAAATTTACAGAGAACGTTAAAAATAAGTAATATAGGCAAATGGTAAAGAGAACTTAATTTAAAAAAATCTCTAACATTCTGTCCATTTCATCTTTTAAATTCAAAATGCGTGGTAATGCATTATTTTAACCACAGAAATCCAAATATAAATAGAAGTCGTAAAAGCGCGTGACCTTGTCGCAGCACATGTGACCCGTAGGCCACAAGCGCGCGAGGAGCGTTTGTTTCGGCTATATATAATGTTGTATTTAATGCCTTACTTAAATAAAATTATCCACCTCCAGTACTACGATTGTCTCCGAAATTTTAATTGTTTTCACATTTCAATATCCATTGATTCCTAAGCTAGTTCATGTCTACGAGTGCGACAGCTAAAATCAGCGATGGATTTATAGTATGGGCAATAAACAAAATTGTTGCGTACGTATTTATCCCAGAACATGGCCGCAGGAGTCGAATGCGAGTCAGTTAAGTGACACAACTATTTTGTATCTATAATTTATTATGTTTGGCTTACCTAGTTTTAACGAAACGGGTATTAAATTTGATTTTTCGTTAAATATTTATTTACACCTTTCTACTTTTTTTCTTTCTAAATATTTTATAGCATTAACCGTTTATCGGTGATTATCTGTTTGTTTGTACTTTTAAATTCTTGATAAATTTTTAATCAGTTATATTATAAGGATAAGTAATTATATTGTAAGTATAGCAGTCTTAATTCGATCTGTAAGAAGCCGGGAAAATGAAAAGTAGCAAACAATAGAAAGTGAGTTACAGATCTTTAAGAATAATAAAAAAATGCACCCATACATATATTTATTAATTTGCTGTTAGTGTAATGTTGTATTTATTTTATTTATACATCTGTTTATATAATACAATGTTTTATTACAAGTTTCCAAAAGATCCGGTTATTAAATATAAATGGATATATTTATTCTTAACGTATTATTATTTCCCCTTTTTTTCTAATTATAAAACGTCTAAAAGCTAAAGCTAAGACTAAAAGCGTCTATTACTGAGAAAATTTCAGTTAATTAGTTATATCTTGGTGTGAGACTCCTGGAAGATCAACGACGCTTAATAATAGAAAGTTATCGAAACGTGCGTTGGCCTGCACTATGTCCAAGTGAGAGCGAGCGCGCAATGTCATTCTCTGTTTCTCGCACACTTTAATTATTGGACCGAGTGGCTACGCCTCCTGAGATTTTGCGTTTTTATAAACAATAGTCTATAGATTAATCTATGTTGCATGAATGCTAGAGATATTTGTAGGCATAATTGTATATTTATTGTTTGTCTATGTGTGAGAGCTGGCGACACGCGTTCTGTTATTAAAAGACAGTAGAAGGCATTTCTATTGTCTTATTATTTAGATTTTTGTGATTTTAACCGATTTTACTGCACACACGTAAGGGTCGATCGGTAGGCAAAAACGTTGTTTGTCATAAATCACATTCAATTTGGGATAATTCATATAAATAAAATGATAGAGGTTTGCAGTTGTGCGGGCATCACGAAAAAACTACTAGATATATTTCAGTTAGGTTTTCTAAGTTTTAAAACAAATATTGCAATATCTTCATTGAATATAAAGTTATTAAAGTATTAAGAACTCAGACGAATTCGCTAACAGCTAGTTTCAAATAAAAGTAGAAGCTTTATTTACGCGAACTTTTAAAAACTGCAATAACGGTATATTATTATTTATATATTTGAACTTAAGTTTAAAATTTGGCTACTTTTTTAAAAATAACCCTGTGTATAAAAGGGGATGTCCTGAGTGATTGACTCATCTATCATTGGACGGCCCAAACCGCATACTAGTTGTAGAAATCTGGAATTTTCACAGTGGATGCCTCTTTTCACGAAGGAATTATTTAAAGGATTTTTGAAAATTCAACCTTTAAAAGGATAAAATAGAATGTTTGTATAAAAGTTTTGAAGGGTCGATTAACTAGAAATTCACTAAAAGACTATGGATGAAAAGCCCTTTAAATAGCTATAAAAGAGGTTTACACGAATTATGCAATTATGTTAAAAAAGTTAAAAAACCAAGATGATGACATTTAAGTAAAGTAGGATAAAGATACTAGAAAAATAGGAAGTATGGTGGAAAATATTAGTTCCATAGAATAACATTTGAGTAGGTTTTTTAAGAAAACAACTGGTAAAATTAAAAATTTTGTACAACCGACTTCAATATATCAAAATATAGAAGTCAATTTAGTACGCATATTAAGGATAACTCAAAAATTCCTGGTCAGTTCTTGATCAAATTAATATGAGAGAAACACCAACTTTCAAATTAAAAAAGGTCATCAAAATCGGTTCATCTAGAAAAAAGTTCTGAGGTAACAAAACAAACAAAAACAAAAAAAACAGTCGAGTTGAGATCCTTCTTCTTTTTTTTTGAAATAATTAATAAGAGATAATTAAAACAATAATGTTTAAGTTAACTTTTGTATATGTTTTATTTATAGAAAAAAACTTTAAAATCATCCTTACCATAATTTATTATATGTATCAAAGTCAGTGGTCCGTGGCGAGCTAAAAAAAATTGTCAAATGGTTCCTCATCACGTAAAGGTAACCACTGAAAGAACCATTGACTTAGTGGTAAGCTTACTGAGCAATTAATGGAACTTTGCAGATAACTAAGTATTAAATATTTGAATTCACTATGAAACAGAATCAGAAACTTTTTTATTCTGTATAAATTATAAATAATACTAATTGACAGTCACTTCTTTTTTTAATTTACCACTGGTTCGAAAAAAACCTCCGTCCTGGAAAGAACTAGCAAGAAACCCAACGGGATTTTTAAATAACAGCCCACAATCATGTATGTATGTTACAATTTAACAATATAAAACAAAATAGAAATAGCTTGGTAGCGATCACCTTTCCCAAAGGTTATTATCATCCATAAATTCCTTAATATTATAATAACTCTTTTTATACAAACTTAGTTTAATAAAGTTTTTGAACTTTGTGCAGGTCAAATTTTGTATTTTTTTATATGAACACTTGTAACAATTGCGTGGCTTTTTTCCAGTAATCATATGTGAAAGATGAGATCTGTTTCAGAATTAAACTGAGCGAGGATGCTGTGCCGGCGTGCCTCCCCGTAGACACAACAGCTCCCGACGAAAAAGCTATAGCTACTGGGTGGGGGGCGACCGGCTACACGGGATCGAATTCTGATTCTTTACAGAAGGTACGTTACAAATGTTCAAATATAACATGAATAATTAATGTGTACTCTACGAGCTCAAAGCAATTGGTCTGAGTCTACGAGACGGTATTTTCAACCAGTTACAATAAAAGGAGAAGGTTCTCAAATCGACTGTATTTTTTATGTGTGTTACCTCAGAACTTTTTCCTAGGTGAACCGATATTGTTGATTCATCAGATTCATCATCAGATCAAGATCTGAATCTTGTAATTCTTTGAATACATTGATGATGTTCTCATTTTCTTTATATTGAAGTCAGTTGTACAAAATTTTTAATTTTACCACCTGTTTGTCCGCGAAGTTATTGAAATACTCATTTCTAAAACAATAACTTTCAGTAAAACTAGTTTCAACGGATTACATCGCGTATATTAACTCTACTTTCGAGTACTTTACAGAATGGTTACGATGGACTGAGGTGTTAGATGTCCCAGCCCAAGCATAAAACTGCAAGACTTCAAGATACTGTAAGTTCAGTCTGCATAGATCGGACTAATAATTAATAATTTAAATCTGAAGGTAGCCATGGTTAACATGGGACATGGGGACGTCAAACACCTTAGTCCCGTCCATGATCATGGGTGCTGTAAAGTGCTGGAAACGTTAGGAATGTAAAATAAATTAATATACTCGAGAAAATGCGTAATAGATAGTTTCATTAAAATGTGCAGAGTTCGCGTAAACTTAAGAAGTAATTTAAACTTTGAGGTCAAATTGTACAATTAGAAAAATAAATATCTGTTTAAGTTTGTGTTCTGCATTCGTTTATGCTATCGTCTTCGAAAAAAATTCATTAGAATTAGTCATTTGTGTACTTCACAAGTGGTAAAATTAAAACTTTCGTACAACCGACTTCAATACGATCGAACTAATGTATTCGAATATTCGAAGTCAATTAAGTACGCATTATTAAAGATAACTCAAAAACTACTGGTTAGATCTTGATTAACTTAATTTATAAGTAACCAAACGAAAAGTGCCAGCTTTCAGATAAAAAAAGAATCTTCAAAATCGGTTCACATTAAAAAAACATACAGTCGAATTGAAGTCGGTATTTCGATCGGTCATTCGAAAAATCGCTTAAAGAATCGCTAAAATAAACGACTAAGAGTAGTATTAATAATTTTAACACGAGTTATAAATCTAAGCTTCTTGTGCGAAAGTATAGGCTTCCTAAAACTAGCAGCTCAGTTTTGGATAGATGCACATTGCTGTAACTCTTGAGAGAGATCTCTTCATCTCACAAGTTCGATTACGGTGGTCGGTCTCAACGTAGCCATTTGCGTAAAGCATGATCTCTATTTTCACTCTCATATTTCCATGGGACGACAAACCGTCACGACCAGAGAGAGATAAGGAGCAGGATAGAAAATTTTTATTTTTCGCTTTTGCTGAGAATCACTTGCGAGAGCTTTATGCGTAGTAGAGCTATGCTGCAGCTGTGTCGGTTCTACCGGGGAAGGACTACTCTCTTACCTTACTCATTGTAAACATAATACCTGCGTAAAGACAAGACAAAGCAGCTTATTGCTACTGTGTTTCGTATTGTGAGTATAAAGAACCTGAAATACTCTTTACTGTAAACGAATTATCCCATTTTAGCTGTAGTTTTCTGTTTACCTAAAATTCCGCAAATCGTAATATTTATATGAATTTATGTAGATAGTGCATTCTTGCATAAATACTTATTTCATTTGGTTAGTGTAGGTACAAATAACGTCTTCTAAATTCTTTCGACTTCGGTATAATATCGATCACACATATACATTAAACTCGTTTACGTATTAGTTGCTTTTACCATAGGAGAATTTCACAACCACCCGCGACGTAGGAATGAAATTCGTGATAACTCGTTGTAGCGTGCCCGCTAAGGAAATTTAATCGTGACAAAGCGTTTGATTTAATATCATTTCGTTGAAAGGTGATGCGTCACTAGCAAATCATTGCCTGATTTTAGTAGTTAACCTCTCGTACGCTGTGAAACTTTTGTTTTCCATCGCTACGCAATTTGTTTTGTGTTAGTTTAATATAAATTATCGTAACCCCCAGGGATATCTATGGGCCATAGTATCCACTTACCATCAGGTAGACTGTGTGCTCTAAACAGAGCTATACGAGTAAACTACAATGACAGTCGAACTCACTTTCTTAAATTTGCAATAAGTAGTGTAGGGAAAATTAATAAGGAAAATAACACTAAATAAATGTTAGAATAAGTGCTATCTACCAGTTAGTAATAACATAAAAGTAATTAAAAAAATGATAATTAGATAAAATCATGTAGACATAAGTAGACTAAGAGTAAAGATATCAATGTAATATATAAGCGTAGGTGACACGGAATACTACGTAACTATTGAAAAAAAATACGTAACACTATTGTAAAAACAAATAAAAAAATAAAAAAAACTAGAGGAATGAACAAAAGATCAAAATTCATAAGAAATAAAGGTGATGTAAAATAAAAAACAGCAGGAAGAAAAGCATTAAAAGACTGTGTGCTCATTTGTCACTCACATACTATAAAAAAAAAAATTTAATTTTAATTTTCGGTCCGACCGGTATTCAAGGGACCACGTAAACAAGAGTCGCATTTACGACTATTAGACCAATGAGGAAGTCAAAATAACATTTATTATTTCTATGAAATGGCGCTGGTAATAAAAACGTTTATAAAGAATAAATATTATAGTTGGTATTTAATTATCAAGAGATGGCACTGTTGTCGAAATAAATCGCACTTCGGTGTCGTTAACATTGATATTTAATGGCTGTCTTATTTCTTAGGCCCTCATTACGATAGTGGTTCAAGCCGAGGTTCGTACCTCCTTCAAAGGGGCCCTTGAATCATATAGAGTCCCCACCCCCATAGCCAGAGGAGCCTCACTCGAAAAGCAGGGACCGGGGTACCTCGGGACTGTAGTGGGCGAATAGCCTCGCCGACGACAGAATCAATGCACTTAATAGCTCGCACATAGTCCACCTGATGGTAAGTGGATGCTGTGGCCTATAGATATATACATTAATCCTCGATTAAGAATCAAAACGCAGATGTATTGTCACCCCTGAGGACTAAGATGGAATGCCTCGTTTCCAGTAAAAAATGGTCTCCGGATCTCTACACTCACCATACGAAACACAGCAATATTAAGCTGCTATTTTACGCTGGTATTCTATGAGAGCGTGGTCCTTTCCCGTTAGAGGTGACCCATTCGTGCTACAACCATAATATAGCTGCATCATGTAACCTCTAGCTCTACCACGTAAATTCTATTTCGATGAAGCTGTAGAGGCCGCAGGGCCAACAACATACACTGTCAGAAGAAAAAAAGTTTTCGGATGGCCCCAGTTGCAAGTTGATTAGCGTGTAGTGACGGTGTAGGAATAGTCACTACTCCATATCGTCTCGTGGGTGTCGTAAGAGGCGACAAAGAAAAACAAACCAGGAGAAGGGCTGCAACGTCTTCCTATTAAAAAAAGGCAGTCGCCAACCAATCCACCAGGTGCGATAACGATCGCAATTATCGTCCCTATGAGGCAATCTATGGGAAGGCTTGTATATTCAGCAGTAGACTTTGATAGGCTATAACAATAACTGAGTAACAAAACAAAGCCTAAAAGAAACTTCAAACTAATTTTCTATTACAGGTGATATTGAAGAAGTTCCCCGAATACGAGTGCAAGTTGAAGTACCCCCGCGAAACGCAACCTGGAGAACGGGTTCGATCCAAACACGCAATTATGTTATGGTGACAGATACGAATCGAAGGACTCCTGCCAGGTACGAAACAATGCAATATCTTAACTAACCAGATGAGTGGGTTTCGATTGATCAGTAGATGTTCATAATTATCCAAGATGCTATGTAACAACAACAAAAAACTATTTGTGCACCGTCACATTATTATAGTGACAAGTTTTAACTTGGTCCTTCAAGCTGGATTTTAATACTTTTTTTCGTTTTGTACAAAAAGAAGAGGCATGTAAAAGGAATTGCTACTTTTCATCTTTGCGTTTTGCAAGAAACAACCTCAAAATGTGCTGCTAAGTTGTAATTTACATGCTGCAAGTATTGCAATTCATCCTTCTCCCTCCCCTGATTATGCCGACCCACTCGTGCGGCAAACATAGTATTTTTAATTTACTTTTTGTAACGCTACTCCCACCCCCTGTATCGTGAAGGCAGTTTACATACACAAAGGAGATGGCAAAAAATTGTATGAGCCTGTGGCCTAGATAGTACAGAGATGAAATCTATGTCATTTGAAAAGTACAGATCTTCTTTATAAAGAATTAGAAAAATACTTATAGCTACGCAGTAGTGAACAAAAGTTATGATGGTTTAAAATAGTTGATTTTGTCACCCGGTTTTTATCATAATTACATAATGTAGATATTAATAAAGTTATAATTTCATGTAGGTGAGGTTATATAGGTTAATGTGTATGCATTTATCCCAGATGCTTAGGATATATAGTAGTTTCGCTAAACAGAAACAGGGGCAGCAGGTCTTTGAGTATCCAAAAATATTTATATTACTTGTAACTATTCAATAAAGTTTGACACTTTAACTATTTTGGCACTTGACGGACGGATTCAGTGTTGCAAGTATTCAAGTAAAATAATCATATACTATGTAATGCCACTTGTTTCAGCTGTTGCTATATTAAATGAATAAATAAAATCTTATACGTCAGTGTATTTTGATTATTAATTCATTAATAGAAGGTTTGTTTTTATTCATAACATATCATAAAAAAAGTATTTTTATGAGTTTAGTTATTGTTTTCTCCCTGCTCTGATCTTTTTAATTATTGTATGGCAACATTAAAGGTACTTTAATAATGCTACAGAGTAATTTCAAACAGAAGAAATCATTTTAAATACTTTTAAACTTGATAATTTCTCAACAGCTGCTATGAAATGTTAATAGTTATTCAAAATTATTTGTTGGTTTTGTTTAAATGAATAGCAATAGTTTTATTTTTGTACAGCTTGGAGCACATTTTGGCTTTGTCATTTCACAAGAACAAACTACCAAGAACAATTACTTGTAGGCCGTAAAAACACTTGCTCCGAGTTGTTTGAACTTGCAGCGCCCAGAACTGCAACTCCTTTCTAAGCAACTGCGCCACGGAGCCAGAGCTGATAATAGCTGCAGCATGGCTACGTATAAACCTTCAACTGGTTTCAGGGTGACAGCGGGGGCCCGCTGCAGGTGAAAAACAACAGGATTAACTGCATGTACACCATAATTGGTATCACATCGTTCGGCAACAAATGCGGGATCGTGGGGGGAGCCGGGAGTCTACACGAAGGTCTCCGCGTATGTGCCGTGGATAGAGAGCATTGTGTGGCCATAGGGATCTTCGTTGATGATGCTGGGCTGTTGATCGGTCCCGACTACGGTGACCAATTCTGATCAACGAAAGGCAACTGGATTGGACAATATAATCTATGCATATAAATTAAAATGAAGTGTCTTTAATATTGTAATAACTGCCTTATGGCTGAGGGGGTTATTTGTGTTCAATTTAGTCATGAATTACCATTTCTTTTTATTTCTCTCTCTCTGTCTGTCTGTCCATGCTAATCTACGGTTTGGCTGAACCGATTGTAATTGAACACCACGAACAGAGAGCAACGCCAAGAGTGAGTTTTTACGTAGTAGAGCCATGCTGCAGTAATTCATTATGGTTGTAGCACTAATGGGTCGACTCGACCGGGGAAGGACCACGCTCTCAACAGAATACCAGCGTAAAATAGTAGCTTAATGCTGCTATGTTTCATATAATGAGTGTAAAGAACCGGAGACCTTTTTTACTGGAATTGAGGCATTCCATCTTAGTCCTCACGGGTGGCATCGTATGTGCATTTTTAATTCGTAATCGAGGATAGATGTAGATGTCTATGGGCCACAGCAACCACTTACCATCAGGTGGACTGTGTGCTCGTTTGATTAAAAAGTGATCTAAGCTAAATTTTCAAAACTTGGATATTTTCAAAATACATACATAAACACTCACGCCTGTTACCCAGAGGGGTAGGCAGAGACTACAGACTTCCATTTGGCACGATCCTGACACACATTTCTTGCCTCCTTCACATCCATACACCTACGCATACATGCTCGTCGGTTAAGGGTACTCCTAATTTGGCCCGTTTTCAATAAATCGCCAATTTGGTCGATAAATTTTCGCCTAGGACGTCCCTTTCCGACTCTGCCATTCACTTCTGCACCATAAATTTTCTTTGTCACTCTTTCCTCATTCATTCTTTCCACATGACCAAACCACCGAAGCATTCCTTTCTTAATCCTGGTCATAACATCATCTTGCAAACCACACTCTTCTATTTTCAAAAATAAAAACAAATCTATGTTAAATCTAAAAAATGCCACATTAATATTCCTATCCAGGCGAAGTTCGGGAGGATCACTAATATCATCATCATCATCACAGCCCTTCACAAGTCCACTGCTGAACATAGGCCTCCCCCAAGTAATGCCACAAAGCACAGTCCTGAGCCATTTGAACGCTATTTTAATATACTGGATGACCTTTTTACCGTTTGAAAAAAATAGGGTGCAAAATGTGAACGAAGTAGAAGCCAGACGCAGCACAGATATTTTGCAAAAAATGAAAACAAAAACCTTGAATTAAACGTTGGAAATTTTTTTTAACAATTTCTTTGCCCCTTGCTCTTGCGACTGTGACCCTGCGAAGTGACAAGAGCAAATATGCATACAAAATTATTGTTTTGTTGCCGTTCGTAAAGTAGGGTGGATATTATTTGAATTTTGTTAGATTTTACTTAATTTATTTATTTAATTCATAATTTTTGCTTTTATTTTTTGTATAATATCAATGCAATTGGCTTCTACTCCGTTCACATGTTACACCTTATTTTTTTCCAGACGGTAAAAAAGGTCATCCAATATAATAACAGTACTCCAACTAATTTTTCGCCTTATAGTAGCAGTGTAAGAATATCCACTATTCCCATACTTTCCCGTGTGTGTCGTAAGAGGCGACAAAGGGAGATTGAGACAGAAGATCAGCAGAGTCTTCTTGATAACAAGTAATAAAAATATGATTTTAGAGTTTTTTTTGTTGTTTTCTATATTCGTATATATAGTTCAATGGCAAATATAGCAGAATCCTCTTGCTATATTTGGGGGGGGGCACGTTTAAATAAAATTGACAAACGAGCACACAGTCCACTTGATGGTAAGTGGATACTGTGGCCTATAGACATCTACATTTATCCTCGATTAAGAGCCAAAATGCGTTGTCACCACTAAGGACTAAGATGGAATGTCTCGTTTCCTGTAAAAAGGTTCTCCGGTTCTCTACACTCACCATACGAAACGCTGCAACATTAAACTGCTATTTTACGCTTGTATTCTTGACGCTTGGTCATATACAAACTGCAGCGTGGCTCTACCATCTATTGTAAACTATATATGATTTTTATCGCTCACTTTTAGTTTTCGGTTGTAAATCTCGAAATAGATATAGGCCATGCTCGAATAATTATTTCCTAATTACTTATTTGTTAATACATTCGTCATTATATTTTATTACTAATCATAATTAGCTATTGAAAATAAATATATTAAACAAATATTTGTGTTTTAATATTTCTTGATCATTAAACCTGTAACACTTCTTATCTAAACCTGTCAACTGTTACTCGACAGCTTTGTTGAGAGTGTAATGAGGGTACATTAAATATATAAGTGATTGATTGCAAAAGGCTCGTCGAACAGTCACGAATAAACCGTCAATCCGCTTACTCGTGTCTTATTTACGAAATACATTACAGAGAGCTTAAGCTTTATTAGGAGAGGAGGAATTCAAATTTAATAGATACTGTCATCATCATCATTACAGCCCTTCACGCATCTACTTCTGAACATAGAACTTCCTCAAAATCTGCCATGAAGCAAGGTCTCACAACCAATTTACCTAAAAATGCGTAAATTGATTCGTAAATAACTTATCTCCATTATTTTAAACAACACGGGAAGCAAAACAATCGGTCGGTAGTTAGACATGTCCTCTTTATTATTGTTTTTATAAATTGGTTTAACTATAACCGTTTTCAGCCTTTCGAAAAAATATTCCCACTAATATGCTTACATTAATAATATGGCTAAGAGGTTCAGATATACTATTGCAAACAGATTTAATAACTTGCGTTGAAATACCATCATAACAAAAGCTTTTTTTGTTTTTTAAAGATTTTATTATCCGTATTATGTCTTGTGGTACAACCGGTGTTATAAATATCGAGTGTGGGTTATAATTAATTTTTTTGATGTCATCTTACACGTTTTTTGGTATATCTGTGATCTGGCCGATAAAAAAGTTGTTGAATGATTTAGCTATTTCTTTAGGGTTCGTTATTAATAAGTCATCTTTTTTTACCTGAGAAATAGGTACCTTAATTATTTTGTTATTATTTATTATTTGCCAAGATGTTTTGGATTTATTTTTTGAGTTAAGGATGAGATGGTTATTTTGAGCTTTCTGAATCAGTTTAATAATTTTTTGAGTCTTCGGCAATATGTATAAAATATTTTTTATTTTCACATGTCGGTTTTAACCTCTTTTTTCACAGTAAATGGCGCTGCCTTTTGCTACAAATCCTAATACCGCGTGACACCCATTTAATAGATTTTTCAGTGCGTACTATAATAACCGACTTAAAAGAAAACACACAAATTATATAGTAAAAGAAATAAATTGATAAAACTATTAACAGGGTCGTCAGTACTATAAATGTCTGAAAATTATAACTGTTGGAGATATTTACTGAATTTATTTATACTGAATATATTTTCATTTGACGTATCTCTTATTGTTTGACCCCAAGATTTTATTTGTTTTAATTTGTTAACTTTTATTTTTAGAATCCGAGCTGTATGGTCTGATAAGGTCTATTACTTCGATTTTGCACTTTTGTTTCAAATTATGAGCAAATTTATCCAAACACGTATTGCTGTCTAATCTAGTAGGTTGGTTAATTTCTAATTTAAGGTTAAAGCTCAAAAGAAAGCATTCAAATTGTTTTGCTAAATTGTTCCTTTTCAAAATGTCTATATTAAAGTCACCACATACTATTATACTACTTTTATGGTTACACACTTCCTTTAATAGAGTCTTCTTTAAATACAATCTTGTCAACCTCGAGCACGGGCACAAAGTGACCAGTCTCTTGAGAATATTTAAGATGCATTTCGCTGAGTGAGCGCAGGAATTACATGCTTTAATTCCTCCCTACCCTTTCCACCATGGGACCACCAGGCAGTCCGCGGCTTTTTTTACCTCCTTGTTATATACTTTACGCATTTATACTGTATTGCTTGCTTTCTCTTTCGTAATGCGTACAATAGCATAGCAAATAGAAGAGAAAAGAACGTACATATCAAAGCAGTGGTAATCTGCCGACGTCTATCTTTCCGTCCGATCACAATCTGTGCATGTTCAAGGCTAGAGTGAATAGGCCCACTAGGCACTATCTAGCCACCATCTAGCGCTTCACCACCACTTACCATCAGATGGGATTGCAACCAAGCACTGATTTATAATAAGTAAAAGGAAGCCCTTGCCGTCTACACTGAATTCGTTCATAATAACATTAAAATAAAAACACAGTGTTACCGTTTAAAAATTATATTTAAAGTATAAAAATATTTTGCCATATACAGAAGTGGTGAAATTAAAAACTTTGTATAATGACTTCAATATAAATAAAATGAGAAAATCATCAATGCATTCGAAGTCAATTAAATACGCATTATTAAGGATAACTCAAAAACTAGTGGTCAGATCTCGATCAAATTTATATCGGACCGCATGTTTCTACTAAGCTGGTGCTTTCATATAAAAACAGAATCACCAAAATCGGTTCACCTAATAAAAAGTTCTGAAGTAACACATAAAAAAATGAAGTCGAATAGAGAGAAAACCTCCTACTTTTTTGAAGTCGGTTGAAAATTATTGCACTTAAAGCTAAATGAGTACCAACACAATTGTTGTTAATATCCAATTCCTAGATTTTAACCTCGTGGTCTAAGGCCACACAACGCTCTCTATCCATGGTACGAAGGCCGAAACCTTGGTGTATATCCCCGGCTCCCCGATGTACTCGCAAGCCTTTCTAAACGAAGTCACTCCCACCACAGTGTACATGCAGTGGATCTTCTTGTTCTTCAGCTGCAGCGGACCGCCACTGTCACCCTGGAAGTGAAACGGAAGATTGATTGCGCTGATTGAAGTGCGCGTGCGCGTGCGCGTGCGCGTGCGCGTGCGATTTGCGTGTGCGTGTGCGTGTGCGTGTGCGTGTGCGTGTTCGTGTGCGTGTGCGTGTGCGTGTGCGTGTGCGTGTGCGTGTGCGTGTGCGTGTGCGTGTGCGTGTGCGTGTGCGTCTGCGTCTGCGTCTGCGTGTGCGTCTGCGTGTGCGTCTGCGTCTGCGTCTGCGTCTGCGTCTGCGTCTGCGTCTGCGTGTGCGTGTGCGTGTGCGTGTGCGTGCGCATGCGCGTGCGCGTGTGCGTGTGCGTGTGTGTGTGTGTGTGTGTGTGTGTGTGTTCTGAGTGTATGATAGAGAGATATCATGTGAATTTGAATCAATTTGGCTTGGCAGATTTTGAAAAATCTCAAAAAATTAAATTTTTAAAAATAAAGTTATATTGAGATAACTTTTAAAGTAATATAGCGATCGATTCCAAAATCTAATCAGCCCTTAACTTCAAAAACCAACATCGATTGCCGCAGACCGCATTAAAGCTGTTCTTTCGTTCAAGACAAAAAGACAACGATTTCTTTGGAATTAATCTTGAAAATTTCATGAAATGTCCGGTAGGGAGATGGCCAATCAACCGTATTTGCGTGGATACACGAACTCTTTTTCTTAAATAAAAGGTCACTCCTTATAAAATCAGTCAATTTGGTAGTGAAATTCACGTCAAAATTGGAGCAGCCATTTCGTAGATTGGCTGGAACAAACACACATACCGACAAACAGACAGACAAAAACATTCAAAGTTGTTGTTTTTGCTATAAGTACCGTTTATATTTTCATATGCGTTTAGTAAAAAAAGCTGTTATTTTAATATTACAAAAAGACACTTCAATTTTATTTATCTTTATAGATTGTGTGTGGTTTGTTATTTAATGATTAGGGAGTTTATTCTTAATAATCGATTTTCATATATGTAGCCCGCGGTACATAAATTAAAGATGACTCAGGCTACACCGAGTCGGGTCCTAACGAGTGTCAGCTGTAGAACGATCACCGAGCCGGGACCGGCCTTAAATTACAAAGACGGGTCTCGACCAAGCAATACCCTATGCGTCGTGATGCAGTATACTCGTCCGAGCAAAAATAGTGTTTTAATTAGACTACAATCATATTGAAGTTAGACGATCTGGAATTAGCGGCTAGTGCAATCGCTCTGGATGATGAAGAATCTGATAAATCTTCAACTACAAGCCGGGACCGAGTTGTTGCCTAGCATTGTCCGTTGCTCGGCCGTCACTCGGTTTCCGCTCGGTGCCGAGTGTCGGCCGTAGCACGGTCAACTAATATTACATACACGATGTTAGTGTAAACACCGTTATCCTTGAAACCAGTGGTTTGGTTTCACTTATAGAACGTAAATTCAATAAAATATAACAAATTTTTTTAGTAAAATCTCAATTTTTCCTTAGTTCCTCAATTTTTGCCTGTCTTAAGCCAGGATGAAAGTATGAAGGAAAAGTTACATCACAGGTTATGTGTATCCCTTGTGTTTTGGAATCTTGTGTAGGTAGCTAGCGCGGGCGGTGACTTTACAGTGATTACATCACTCGGGCGCATAGGGTATCCATGAATTTACGGACGGTGTCGGACAGTAACTTTTTAAATGTTATGAAAGAAAATAGCGTTTTTTTAATTCATTGAATTTACGTTCTATAAGTGAAACCAAAGAACTGGTTTTAAGGATAACGGTATTTACACTAACACCCTGTATATTTTTTATGGACACACTCACGCTATACCGAGCGGAAACCGAGTGACGGCCGAACAACGGACAACTAAAGGATGACTCATGCTAGACCGCATCGTTTCCGAGCCATGTGTCACGTAGGACGGTCAACTAATAGTACATATATTTTATATGGACACACGCTATATATCGAGTCGAGCAACGAATTTCAGACACGGAACCGGCTCGGTGAACGTGCTACGGCCGATATTCAGCTCGGACCAGACTCGGTTTAGCGTGAGTCAACCTTTAGATGGGAAGCGAAATCGAATGTTAACAAAAAGTGAAGTTTGCCAAGTAATGCCTCAACTAAAAAAATCGTGGATATGCGGAGAGTCCCCCTCATTATTTAACAAGCAAAAATAAATAATTTTGCGGATCTCTGGCAGCTTTTTCATGCAACCCTTGGGTTCCGCGGAATCCACTTTATTTATATATGCTCTAGAACGCCACAAACGAACAAACATACATACGTAGGCTGAAAAACACATTACCCACCGCAGTCGGATAAAAAGCGTCCACCTCGCATATCATACGCGCAACCCGCCACACCTATAGCTGCAGATATACTGTGAACATCTAAAGAACTTTTTATCTCTATGAATACCTAAATCTTACCTGGCAATTATCCTTCGACTTTGCCTTATCCCCGTAGCAGATTTGAGTCTTGGAGTCGAACCCGTTCTCCATGAGACGGGCTGGCCGGAACAACTGCGCACACTCGGAGTCCGAGAATTTTTTCAGAACCACCTACAACGGAATATTGAGCTAAACAAAACTGTTAGGGGTCGGATTTAAAAAAGGAATTTATTGATATTCTTCAGTATTTATATATGTATATAGTGTATGTGTTTATGAATATATAATAGAGATGGGCCGAATATTCGTTTAGTACTCGGTACTCGGTGTACTCGGCGGGTTTTTAATACTTGTACTCGGCCGTATAATTCGGTTTTAATGCCGAGTATACTCGGTTTAAGTAAAGCAATATATTTAGGTATACTGATATAATTAAAACAACAGTGTTAATCAAAAAGTATATATTATTAATTGGGGAAATCTTTGACAATCTGAATAATGATAATGAATGAGTTGTAATGAGACAAAATTAGGAAAATGTTAATGAAAAAATCGATATTTAAAATGTAATAAAGG